ATTAGGAGACATCTCCTTTATATTGGAAGGTGTAGGCCAAGACTCACCGAACACACAATCTCTTTGGCAACTTCGAGGTGTCTCACGGTGGCCTCCGCGAAGGTTTTGAAAGGTGCAGCGATATTACTGTCGTTGCGCGGCTTCTTCAACCTTCTTGGGGTTCCCTCCGTGGAGGTGCACAAGTGAGGGGGCTTTCCTGCAGGGGCAGCCGGTTCCTTGCTCTTATTCGAGGCGGAGCTTCTGTCCAACCTCGGGATTTGTTTCTGTTTTTGAGTTGTTTCATTTATGTGTGTTCCCACGAGTAGCAGGGGAAGAGTTGGTCACTCTGGCAAAGCCCCGCATTACCAGAGGTAGGCTGATTACAATGAGGTTTCGCCCAGTTCCTCAAGGGGATCGTTCTTGACCGCATATCACCCTGCGGCCATTCAGCTGTCGGCACGATTCCTCACACCTCAGCTTGGGTAGGCTAGTCCACGGTGGCATGGAAAGCAAAGGCTTTTGGGGGGTTTTAGTTCCCCTCACCCTACTTATTTCTGCCACTGACCAGGAGTCCGGCGACCCTGTCCGTAAGGCCACATTGGCTTTCCGGATTGGGCCTCCAGTCCCCTAGCCGTTCCCTTAACCGCCACCTGGGGACGCGCCCGATAGGTAGCCCAACCCATGGGAATGTTTTTGATATTTTCAATCCGAAATATCATGACTAGTTTTGTAGATTAGTTTCTTTATTTATTGACTGAAGATATTTTTTGAGAAAATGAGGATTTTGTTTTTTTTGTTTTGCAACATACCAATATTAAGATTTTGTATGTGTTGTATTATTTATTGTGCATTTATACAACCAAGCAGATGGCGTTTGTTTCTTTCAATAAAATAGCTTACGTTTTCTTACAATTCAATTACTTACCATCTATCCAAATGTAATTTATAATATGACCTGGCCTAAACTGAAATGTAAAACAAGTAGCTTGAGCTTACATGAGCCTATTTCATAAAGCTACAGGTTCAACTCCACAGCTACAATTAAAAAAAACCTTGAAACCGACCAATGGGAGCAGAAATATCAAGGTTTTTTTGGAATTGTAGCTGTAAAGTTGTGCTTCTATCTTCATGAAATAGGCACTCAATTTGAAGGTGTCAATTTGAAAATGTGTTCATACGTCATAGAGTGGACCAAATTAATTGTCAAAGTAAACTACACGTATGAGTGTACATTTTTGCAATTGCACACTTTCTTGCAAGATACCTTGTATTAAGGTAATAAGAATGAAGTGTTTTTCCAGCAAACATTATGTGTTATGTTCCGCAATGTATTGTTTACTTAAAACATTTTGTTCTAGTAGTAAAGTAAAGTTAAAACAAATATTTGGTTTCCCAAGAACATATTCTTTCAGGTACAAGTGTAAAAATGTGTCATTTTATACTTAATTTTGAATTACCCCCCGGTACTTCGCCCAGTAAAAATTTCTTAAAATATGCACTGTTTCAATGCATCTCTAGTATTATGGGTAACTTCCATAAAAAGAGTTGTTGAGTATGAAAAAGTATATACGATTTTTAAATGTGAAATTTCCAACCGCAACATATAAGATGAAAGTGATGTATTCAAAATTGTTGCAAAACATAATAATCTATAAAAATAGATTCGATATTATCAATTTCGTGCAGCACGATACTGATACTTGGATATCGGATACACTCTGCCCAGTTAATAAGCAAGGCATAAGGCACAGTACTTTGTTACACTTGGTCACTAAAATGGAACAAAGATTGGAAAGGTATAGTGTTGTTCACACTTTGTGAGCAGTTTGACTACAGGTTCGGTATCGTACGGCCGATAGAAATTTCTAAGAAATGTGAACGCTAAAAGTCGATTAATTTCGTGTCGGATAATCAACATCTACTATTGGTTTCAGTGAATGGGAGAAACAACGATATAAACATTCCAAGTGATTTGATTAAATTTAGTGGTCAGAAGTGGTTGTTTTCAGAGTTCAGTAAATGACAATACGAGTAATTATTGTTGATGAAAATAATGAATTGTTTATTGAATTGTTAATTTATTGGTACGATTTGTAGTAACTACCAAAAATTTTAAATATAGTGATTATCCATTTAACCTAAATCGACGCATAATACATTTTTGCAATAATATTTACAAAACACTATTTCCTTCTTGATATTTTCACTGAAAGTTATCAATTTGATTGGTTGAAATTATTTTTAGAAATTTAGAAACGATTTCAAAACCAAAAAGAAAAAAATCATGCGAATATTGGTGGATGAATTCTGTAGGAAAACAAACTTCAATAACTTTTGCAGAGTATTTTTGTAAAAAGCATTTCTCTTTTTTTATTCACAACTATAACTCATTCAAATGAGAAAATGCTGTATGTTAGTTGACCTATGAGCGTTCAAAGTGTATGTAAACAATTAAATTATTACATTTCAAACTTGACCTTAATGAATATTTACCTCGATACAAACATAAAGTGAGAACTACCAAATTGAAACTCTTTCTGTTAGTTTGTACTTCAGTATTCGTAATTAAGAATCAGTATAGATGATAATTCACGCAACTTTAATCGCCTAGTCACTATATAATTCATCAATTTTTCGAATCAAATGGTTCCTCTAGTAAATTCTATAAGGCATCTATGACAGAATATTGTCATAACTGGCAATCAACATTGGATAAAAAAATTATTTTTTCATTGTTTCTGTTATGAAAAATCAATTCAAGATATCTTAAATCAACCAGCAGAATATGGACGCATACATACGCACACAAGCACACACACATACGTACACAACAAATAATAGCTGCTAATACACATCTTGCCGAAAACAAGAAGTTCTGTATTTCAAAAAATACCTGCGAAAATGTTAACTCGGGATTACAGTGAACAAAAAAAAAATGCAATACTAAAAAAACACAAGCAATCACTTTCTCTTGGAAAAACATAATTGTAACAAAATTTAGCATACTAATGCTGAGAAATACCATTTCTCTAACTATGTTGTTAAGTTGTTGGATGTCAACTTTTATACCACGACTATGTTGTTGATTAAGTTCTTGGATGTTAACTGGTATACCACGATGTCTTAGCACCAGCACATTATCGGAATAGCACAGTTAGCTTCTCAAAATCACAATTTCGATGATTTTGATAATAATAGATACAAGTAGAAAGTAGGTTATAATAAATGTAAGTACTTACTCAAAAATACATACCTATATCCTATACAGAGTGGTCCAACGAAAAGTATGCACCTTGCTTTTCTCCTTTTTTTGTAACTTAACGCAAAAATGCTCGGACAAGTAAATTTAGCTTTTGAGGGGGACACGTTTTAGATATATTTTTCTACCTGTGCCTTCAACCCCCTAGCGAGGGTGAGTAACAACCCTAAAATTTTAAATGGAAAGTGGGGTCGAGTGATATATGTGCATACTTTTCGTTAGACCACTCGATATTTAAATTACAAAATCAATTTTTCTTTTGCGTCTCCTCCCGAAACGCGTTATCACGTTTTAGGAATCACCGTGTTAGGAATCACACGTTAAAAGGTAAAATCTCGTTAGTTCTTGACTCACACAAGTTTCGACGTCTGAGAGTTGTCGTTTGTTAGGGGGGCGATAGCTGGTTAACAGAAAAACATATTTTAACAGATTAACTTCATCTACTTAATGAGTATGTTTCTACGGATGTGGAGAAGTGCTAGTCCGGTTAGACGTTCTCCAACCAATGAACTTTTTAGCCACGATTTGATTTTTCGTAATGTAGAGAAAGATCTTTCCCCTGTCCCTACACTAAAAGTAGTGCGTACATAAAACATAAAAATTTTCTTATATTAGGATACATCTCAATGTCGCAATTTAAAATAAGGTCAGAAATCGACTGCGGTATGTCCTACGTTCGCTGCCACTTCACCATCCACAGCCGATATTTGATAGAAACTGGAGTACTTTCTGCTAACAATGTATAATCAAATTTTCGATGCGTTCGTTCCAGAATAATGCGTTTGCCGTCAAATAAAGTATTGTATTGAATTAATTAAATACTGAAAGAACTTGAATAAAATCTATATTGTGACAAAAAATATGTATGAACATTATGTTTAACAATTTCAATTAGTGGTCCACTTAGGTCCTGGACCTAGGTAGGGGATTCGCCCTTGACTGTAGATTACATCCTAGGCAGTATTTATTTCCATATTTCCATATTTACTTTTCTACTTCTAAAGTTGGAATTGGTTCAATTATCAGAATAATTATCCCGCAAATCAGAATTTATGTTAGTTTCATCATATTTCAGATGTGATAATGATTTTATAAAAATGATATTGTTTGTTATTAATGAATACATTTAAATGGTAATGCTGAAACTTGATTCGGACAAATATATTAATTTCACATAACTTTTTTAATATTCACCCGACAAAGGAATACATTTCTATATTATCTACTTCTACACAAATACACTTTATTGTATTCTCATCACCAGGAATAAATATTTTGATGAAAATTAGCTCTAGAATATTTGAGAAAAAAAACATTATTTATTCATACTATTTTTGAACCAAATGCCACTCAACTTATATTTCATCAATAAATGTGTTATTTCTCTACAGAATATGACGTAAGAAAATCTGATTTTCTACGGAAATAAGGCTATCACAAACAAAGTTCTTGTTGCACCATTTTCTTCAAAAACAATAAATAATGAAATATGCTGACTGTACCACAATGAAACTTCCGATATACAAATGTTTCAACCTTCCTTGCATTGGGTATACCTACTAATTCTTTGATAAATGATTAATTTTTCCATGAAAACTCATAATCACTCTACACTGATTTCTGAAACAGCTACTTCTTGATAAACCACAAATGAACATTACAATGCCATTACCTAGTTCATTGTAACTATTATGTGTTCGGATTACTTTTATTTCGGTGTTAGAATGTGTGGACTCTATACTATGAACATATCTTTGTCCAGGAGGAAGCCTACTTTCCCAGGATCCCTCACGGACTTGCACAGATTCAGGAAGACTGCACATGGCCATGATGGCTCTAGTAGAATTGTTATGGTGAGAAAGACTGATCAGAGGACGTTTGCTTCCATGCAAAACGGGCAGGTGAGATAATTTATTTTACTTTTTTTTTTCGTAATATTGAGATGGACAAGACAATCATCAAGAACTAATGATATAACAAATTAAATTTGAACAATCTTTATATTTTATCAAATTCATCCTTTTATCCTTTGAAAAATAATATACCTTGGAATAATGTTTATGACAATGTTGACATGAGCTGCAGGTGTATAAACTATGTGCTTAGAGAAAGGTTGGTATACATCTTAATTATGAGGGATCAAGTAATAGACTGGCTAGCAAGAAGCTGTCATTGGGGGAGACTGGTTGGAGTGAACATTGATTTTAACGAATTATTATGTCTCCTGGATCATAATGATCAGAAAGTTCCTGATTCTTCAAACAAGGCTTAACATAATCCCATCCACATCGACCTAGACCTAGAGGCAAAATATCAAACAGATAAAAAATAAAATGGGGTGAAGGTTAGGATAGGGTGGGTCCAAAGTGAGTGGTTCTAGTCGACCCTCCACCGCAACCCGCAAGGGTTTATTGTGGCTCACACCTATTCACACTAGATCAAATAAACCCAGCTGCAGGTCAGATTCCGAACTCTAAAGACCTGATTCGGTCCCCAGCGGGACAGACACAAAGTATGTGCTCTGCTGTTTCATCATTTTCCAAACAGAGTCGACACACACTGTCTTCCGACAGTCCGAGTTTCTGCATATGATGATTCAAATGACAGTAACCTGTAAGAACGCCTGTTAGACGTCATAGTTGATCTCTAGTGTAGTCCAACAACTGTTTGGTATCAAACTTCGAAGGTGAATAAACGCCTTGGAGTGAGCCAATCCTGGAAGATTCTGCCAGAAATCCATAAATTTTCTTGCCATCCAGATGTTTAATCTTTGTTTGGCAAAGCCTAAAGCGATGCCATTGACAAGTTCTGGTCCGATAAAGCTGCTTGCAGCGCCCTCCTTTGCAAGGGAGTCAGCAGCTTCATTGCCTTCCAGGCCAGTATGGCCAGGAATCCAGACCAGAGACAATATGTTGAGTATTCCTATCGAGGACAGTAATTTTTGGCAATTTGCTATTTGCTACCAATTTAGACATTGCTTGGTAGAAGCCAAGAGCTTCCAACGTCACTTGACTGTCCGAGAATATTTTTAATGACTTGTGTATGAGGTTGGATTTATACAATCTCTCCGCACACAATTCAATAGCGTAAATTTCTGCTTGAAATACAGTCGCATAGGTTCCTAGGCAGGTTGATATCTCTTTCCTGGGTCTGCGACTGAAAACACCTGCACCAGATCCGGTAGATGTTTTTGATCCATCTGTAAACCAACAACTATCTGCTCCTAATATTTCCTTCTCCCGGAGGATCCAGTCCTCTCTACTCGGGAACAGTGCTTTATAAGGCAATTCGTAGTAGATAGTTGGAGGCATAAAGTCAGAGGTCATTTCCAGAATGCTGTGACTTTCAGTGTCAACCAACAGTCTGTTGCACTCTGCATCAAATTGATTTGTGCAATTGGCAATGTGCACAAGTCTATATGCAGTCCATCTAGCCTCTACCTCTAGAAAAATGTGGAGAGTAGCTAGAAGTATCTCCATGGCCGCTGACGGTGTGGTACTGATGGCACCACTGATGGCCAGACAAGTCTGTCTCTGTAAGCCAAAGAGCTTCGCCTGGGCCTTTTTCTGTAGAACCTTCGGCCACCAGGCAATTGTACCATAAGTGATCATTGGTCTGAAAATCATCACATAAATCCAATGGATTTGTTTGGGACCTAAACCCCACAAACATGTCCATACGGACAGTCTGGCTTTGTGTAAAACTTTTTCCAGGTGAGTTTTTTATCAATGTGCGGGAAGCACTGATGCTGGACAAACACATCCACGGAAAGACTTGTGAATTGAAACCAATCGTAATGTATTTTGCGGACAAAAATAAAACAAGTGACCGCTTTTAATACACCAAGCAGAATGCAAAAACTTGCTTGTTGAGGAATGAGGAGAGACATGGAAGGAATTTTGAATTTTTTGCCAACTGTGTCTATTTTTACCAATCAAAGCTGGCAAAAGGCGATATTGCAATGAACCTCAACAAAATTAGTGAATCACACAATCTGAGCTTGCTTCAATTCGGTATTCATAATATTTTTATGCATATGCAATGTTTGCAGTTTTGTATAGGATTTACGAACCAAATTGTTAATATGCTTGTCAAATTCAGATCTTCATCAGAATGAACATAGGTTTTTACATTCACTTGATACATCTCGTTCACGTCCGTTAATCACATGGGGATGTTCCTTAATTTCTGTATTTTTCTGTAACTATCATTTCATTTTTAGATACATTTGAAAGCAGGTTGTGCCCTTGTCACAAGTATACAAATAAGATCAGAATGTATTGAATATATCAGAGTATATTTATCGACTCAAAAATTGCAAAGGACGAAGAATGTTACCTTGTGGAACTCCTTTTAATATCTATCGACTCTTAGAGGCAGTTCCAATAAGGAGTCCAAAAGATCCAAATATATACAATCCTGCAATGTGCAATGTGCATTGTCAATATTTAGTAATTTTCAGTATTATTTTCTGTTCTGTATAACCTGAATATTTTATAGTTGCCTAATTTAATATGTATTGTAAAAGGGGTTCCTCGCCTATGAAAAAATAATTGTCCAAATAATTATCTAAAGAAATTTACTGTCATTATACAGTTCAAATTGATACCCTGTATATTGATACGTATTCTTCAATAGTAAATTCAAATAACACTTGGTGTGTTTTATTCACTGAAGAAGGTTATTCAATTAATCCATTAGTGAAGTTTCAGCCCTCTATTATCGAAATTTTGTGATTGATTATATTATTGGAAAGAAAAAGAAAATATTTCATAACATGATATTTAAAGAGTTCTACTCAGAAATATTTTCAATTTTGTCGTTATTGACTTTTTATGTGAGAAAATATAATTGTGATGAATATCAGCTGCCATTATTTACGAAATTTCAAAGTCATACGCACAGTTATCAGATTCACTTTTTCTCTGAAAAAATGATATTATAGAGGTCGAAACATATAGATATTTCGTCTCATTTGAGTGACCTTGCAAGGCAAAAATTGTTTGCAATAATTAATGTTTGGGATTCAAAAGATAAGAAAACTCAAAGGAAACGGAAATCTCTTGGAGATAAGTTCTATTGATTGAATGTCGTTACTGGCTATTTTATTCGAGAAAACGGAGTAGTGGGGTGAGTAATTGCGTAACTTATTTCAATTTCACACTTCAGGAAATGTTTTAATTTTGTAAATTGATTCCTACCACACCTGCGACACATACCATTAGAGTGCAGGTAAGAGTTCAATTGAATTACTGCTTATTTCCTAACGATAAGAATAACTGCGCCACCCTAAACCAATCAGAATAACCAAATTTGTGACAGTTTTTGTGTATTTTTGAAACACGATGATATCGACATTTCATGGTGATTATAATAATAATATAATAATAATAATGCTAATGTATTCTCATCTTGTTTTACATTATTGTATATACATATGACATGGTGCAGCAGAAGAAAAGTGGGGAAGGGGAATAAATGGGCAACCCTACAGAAGATCAAGTCTGTGCGTGAGAAATAAGATAGGAGGTGCAATTGAATCTAAAGTTAATAATGATAACATAACATAGTACATAAAAAGAAAATAAAATATCTAAATAAACAATAAGTCTATAGTTGATAAAAATAATATGTATATAATATAACATTAATTATTTATTGATTATTATTTAATATTAATATCACTGATGACTATTGAATTCCCCATCGAATTATCAACTATCAACTAAACCATGTCACAGAAGTGCAATTGCCATCCATTCCTTCAATCTCTAATAGAATTAGGAATTAGGTGATTCCTCATTTGAAAGATCTTCGAGTTCTCTTGAAATTGATTGCTTCCTTCCTTTCTTTGGAAGATTCCTACATTTTTTGTATCAAGATGGAGAAGTAGAAATTCAAAAAATTTCTTTCTCCTAAAAATATACCCTTTCAATTCAAGTTCAGAACTTGTCCAAGGTGTCCTACCATCAGAAAAAACCATACTATAGAAGTGCAATTTTTTTCAATTTCTCATTGTTGGCTTTCAAAGTAAAAATCGTACAAATCTGAAAAAGTACATCAAATTTAATGAATGTTCAAACAAAAAATATTTTTCTAAATCAGAAGCAAATTTAGCTTCACTGTTAACTTTCATTTTGAAACATATTTTCAATCTTGATACTTACATTTTTTGGCACAGCGGGGTAATTTCTAACATTTGAATCTTAAATAGATTTAGGAATTAGGTGATATACCTATCGTTTGTAAAGCCATCGATTTCTTACAATGATACCTATTTTTTTTTATTTGATGTAGTGGATATAATTCAATGAAGAATGCTACTTTTTATGGACAGTTGGTTATAAAAATATTCTTGATAAAGACGCTTTTTGATAGTGAGGAACTGAAGTACAATTTTATTTCATTTCCAAAATTGATATGTATTGTACAGTTGTTTTAATGGAATTTCTNTTGCTGGAATTGCCATATGGCAGATGAAAAAAAATATTTCTGAAAAAATCTTGAAAGTTTAAGCTGTCAATTTCACTTCAAAATAAAATTATTCATGCATTAATTTCATTATTTCAACCTGTTCAAAAAATAAAAAGGAGGGGGAAATTCACTGTAAATAGGCAGTCAGGAACTAGGAGTTAGGAAATTATCTATTTTATATTTAAGTAACATTTAAATGTGAAAATTTCATTGGACAGTTCACAAAACCGTAACACGGTTACGCTATGGCTATATAATAGCTTCCTCAGGAGTGTTGTCACGCCTGGTCATTCAGTGAATTTTCAGAAATCTTAAATTTATTCAATTTTCAAACATTTCAAACCAATCAGTTTAAAATCTCTTTCATCCAAATGTAATACGTCATAGTCGTGGTTGAACTCATGCTCTTCTGCCAAAAGATGGTTTTCATGTTTTGATTGGCTTCCAGGTTTAGCCGTGGTCTGCTTCGGTTATAATCTCCAAACTTTTCAACAACAACTGCGTTTTTAGATTATAACCAAAGAAGACCACGGTGAAACTCGGAAACCAACCCAAACACAAACAGTGTTGAAAATATATTGCCACAGAATAGTTTATAAAAAATTCAGTTTTCACGATGAAAGTAAACATGGTCAGTGAAGTTATCATTGAATAAATCTTACTCGGGTAAATGAGCCACTCTTGTCACTTCCTCGAGATTACTGAGTTCAAAGTTTTCATTTTCCTCAACAACTCTGATTTCGTCAATGCTGGGGACAATAAACAGGGTTTATAAACACTCAAAAGTTTTTTGTGTACTTACTGCTGTTCCCTTCGGAGAATATGTTGGAATTAATCGTCTATTAGTTTGAACAGTGATCACATATAGAGATTATGTGCTGATAACAAATAACTCATCATTATAAAATACCTTTTCACTTGGGTTCAAGTATTATTTGTTATACCGCCTAATTAGAGACAAGTGCTATTTTTTGATCGGCGCGGTGAGTGAATTCCAAATATTCCCAAATCAGTTCCCCGCTTTTTTCAAATACTACAATAATGTGATATTTGAAACTCTTGTGTAAAAAAATTCAAGTATAAATGATACAAATTGAAATGAAGTTGGTTAATTTCTTGAATGTTATAAACTATTCCTGCATAATCTAATTGAGAAGTATTATTTTCTGGTGAGTTGATTCATGATATTAGCTCAATCAGGTTATTCGTTATTTCCATTTGTTACTAATTATTGTGAAGATGAGATTATAGTTGTGAACATAAATCATGTTTCGGTTGCCCAGAAAATTCTGTTATGTTTGTTAAGAATGAGTGTGAGCTCTGGACCAGGTTTATCCAGTTTCAAAGAATGATAGCAAACATTATGTGACTTTGGTGATACTACTAATAATGACGATCGTTTGTGAAAACAACAAAGAACTAAACGTAGTCTACGGAACAAATAACAACTTGGGTAAATTCATTAAAAACAATAAAGATAAAACTCTAGTGTCGGATAGATCAGGAGTATATAACTTGACTTGTGGTTTTCGTCTTAACTTTCATATTGGCCAAACCGAAAGAACCATAGAAGTAGTTTATTGGATGAAGACCAATCTAAAAATCATCTTTCGACAGAGGTGCACTAGTTCAATCACGATCATGACCATTGCATTTGGAATAGAAAGATTCAGAATGCATACTTTTGGAATGCCTGGAAATCAATAGATTCAAGAATTCGGGATTATTGCTCAATGATTGAATAGATTTGAATAAAAACATCTAATTCATTATAACATTGAAATCAACAGTAGAAAAATAATATTTCAAAATTTCAAAACGCTCAAAGGTGCGTTCTTGTTTCCTCCTAGCTTCCTTCACAAGCGATTTTGGTGAAATTGGTGCCACGTGTGAATCATTGTATTCGTGCCACGTGCCACTATAAGGATGTCTGCAGAATGCTGTATAATGTCCACTGTAGGTAGACCCACTGTGATTCGAAAGTGCATATAAATTATAACGACACGGAGTCACATTGTCTGCTGCATAATTGTTTATATCTGAACCATCTAGAGGAAATTCGATGGCAACATTTAACTTGCCTCTGAATCTTTCTGTTTGAGAAAATCTTTTAACGTGAATGACTAAAATACGGGGAAACTTATGGATCGATAGAGACTCTGTGCATTTTCTTCTTTCCTTGTAACTTGAACACGTCGGTTTTTCATGTCCATCTAAAGTTTCCTCTCTTGTGAAGAAATCCCAGCACTGTGATAAACTCAATTGGCCAGTTCTTTGTGGTATGGGGACTGACAAATCCCAGAAAGGATCGAAGGTTACAGATGGGTGTCTACAATGTGTGCACTTCATCGTGGATTTAAATTGACCAACGAAATTATCTACAATCTCTCAAATAAACCAGCCATGAGTCTTGCGCTTTTTCGCTGTCGCTCAATTTCTCGTTAATCTCCGTTAAGGTCGGTTTAGGTTTCTCAATAATTCTATTAACGTCATCATGTAAACCTTCTAAAAGATAATGAAGGAACTCATGGGCGTCTTGATGCATGAATCGAGGGGCAAAACTCTGAATCTGACTTTTTAAGAAGACTGTGTTCACTGCTCTATCATAGGAATTTTCTGACCACAATTCCTTGATAACTTCTGTGAAAGTTTTGATTGAAGCACCGTCCGTACTAGAAATATTAGTATTGATATCTTTTATGTACTCATCCTTTTCCAAATATTCCAGCAACCCTCTCGTATTTGATAAATATTGGATTACACTGTTCATGAAACAGGTGTCGTCAATATTTTTCAACCCATTAAGCCCAAAGGTTTTGACTGACTTAATTATGTTGTAGCTGTTGGTGATACCGCTGTTTTCATTCCAGTAATCACAGATGCAATGATCCTTCCCATGATTGAACCAATGGAATGAGGAATTTGAAGTTAAATTTCTTGAAACTGAATCAGATATAGTCATGGTGGTTTTTTCGACTTTGTGAAAGAAAGATAATTCCAGAACTTGTTTATTTTGCTCTGCATCTTCTGAGACAATTGGGCAATGATCAATCTGCTTACTCCATTTTGCGTTTTTCATAGAAAATTTTGATTTGATTTGATTTTATCTTATTTTTGAGTAGACGGAAGAGTACCTAATATCGACGTGGCATTACCCCTTTGAATAGCGATACTGATTCTTTGAATTGAAAATGAATAGGCTCGGTTGTCATTGGTAGAATTCATCATTCTTCTACCAATTTCTTCCAACAATTCAGAAGCATGAGATACAAAAATACCAAAGGTTTCAATAGCAACAGGAAAGAAAGAGTAGCAATCTAGCAATTTGAATTGTTTCCCTTTTTTTGAATTTAGTTTGCAATGAGTGAATTGAAATTTACTAAACACTATAGTGTAAATCTATTGACTCATTTTCCCAAGTATCATCGCATTACTCTCAGGTAGCAATTAGTCGAATCTATTTGATGGTTGATGAATTTCTCAAGTAACTGAGTCACTATGTTTTTTATGAATCATTGAGTCATATGTCCTCTGAACCGTAACGAAATATTTTTTTGATTACCCCTTCGTCCGATATAGTTTGAAATGATTTTAATGTAATAATGATTTTTCATCACCATAATTTTTCTGCTCTCAGGAACCGAAGCTGGAGACAATCACAAGAGAGACAATCGAAACGTTTCGAGGAGAAAGGACTGAATGCAAAATTACGACTGAAACAAAAGATATTGACGAAAACTGTCCCCGTGACTTAATAGAAGCTCTGACTGATAAAAGTGTCAAGAAACCTAGTGTGAAGGTGAGTTATATACATTGCACCAACTAATATAATTGAAATATTACAAAAAATTAAATGCGTTTTCAGTCAATTGACGAAATATTACGGGGCTATAAACATATTTCACGAACCAAAACCGAAGAAGACTATAAACAAATTAATGAAAATTGTCAATCCTTTGAATTTCAAGTATTTATCTATGAAGGCTAGATTGAAGTTTAATCAGTTTGCATATCAGTTTGAATATTTCTCAGCAATGTTCTCAGACTTTTCTATCACCGTAATCAGTGCCTTTTTTTAGCCAACTTATATTTACGAGGTCCGGCTATTAAATATGTACGTCCACCCCTGGCTCTAAGAAGTTCGTCACAACGACGAGGCATGCTTTCCATCAAATTTCTGATTATTTGTTGTGGTAACTGCTCGTAAATCGTTATATAAAAGAGCATCTGCAACTTGGTTCAGATTTTGGAAGGGTTGATGATCCTTCAAACGCCTTTCCAGTTCATCCCAGAGGTGCTCAATAGGATCCGGACTATTAGCTGGCCATCTCATGACATTGATATTGTGCTCCTGCAGGAAATTTCTCACGACCCTGGCTACGTGTGGCCTGGCATTATCTAGTTGTTAAATTAACCCAGCGCCCATATTTTGGGCAAATGGGACAACATGAGGTTCCAATATCTACGAACAGCCGTTAAAGTCCCTTCCCAAAACACCACAAGGTCGGTGTGTCCTGATGAAGTTATACCAGCCCATACCATTATCGATCCACCTCCAAATGGAACAATTTCCTGCGTACAGTCATCCAAATAGCATCCACCAGGACGACTCCATACCCGAACAAGTCAGTCATTGTTGAATAACATGAATTTTTTTTTTATCTGTAAACATTACATTGGCCCACTGCTCTAAATTCCAATTACGATGCTCTTGACAAAAGTTTCTAATATTTCCTCGATGAGTTGGAGTTAATCTAGGGGCTCTAGCAGGTCGTCTTGCATGGAGTTGTACTTCGTCAAGTCGGTTTCGTATCGTTTGGTTCGAAATTCGCGTTTCCGTAGCGTCTACAAGACAATTTTGCAGTGTTCTAGCAGAATTGGTGCGACCCCTAATTGCCTTCTACCCAATACATCAACATTCATTGTTTAAATTTTAAAATTTAATATCTATATGAACTAAAGTAAAGTGAAACTAAATACAGATTTTTTCATATTATTGATTTTGTAGCTGAAAGTACAAAAAGAAGTAAAAAAAGTAAACAACAACCGAATGGAGCATGATAAGAATTAGTATGGAGTACACATCAGAAGTTTTTATCATGAAAAAATACATATATTTTCACTTATTGGATTTTAAGGATGTGTCTCTATATTCATTTCGAGTAGTTTACCATAATAGTAACGAAAACGTGTTTTTTCGTTTTTCTCCCCACCTCTCTAGGCGCGCAATCTCGTTTTTTAATAGCCGGACCTCGTATCTCAACAAAATCATCCATTCCCTGCCACTACTTGGAAAAACTTCTGATTGGTCTGATAACATTCTTCCATTCCAAACCTTCTTAGTACATGTTTGCGGCAGGTAGATTGACTAAGAAGCACACCATCAGAAAAACCCTATATTTTCAGCCCTAAGAAATGTTTTCCAGGTTCATCATCTTGAATTCGTTAATTTCTTTTCAACGTTTCAAATATACAGTTTATTTCCTGTCAAAATGCCATCACCATAAAGAAGGATTGAAATGTTTATTCCCTTCTTCCTTTTGAAGTATCAACACGCATCGCTATCGGATCTTTTCATTTCAATGGTAACCTTGAAATGATTAGATCCCAAATTCCAAGCACGAAGAGCTTGCTTAGATTATGAACGGACTGATTCAGCTTACAGACGAGGTTGAGTTTTCAATTTCAAAACTTTGTGACTCCATCATTAGATATCTTCCTCAAAAATTCCACGAAGAAATGCATTCTCAACATTCATTTGATAATTCGGTAGGATTTTATTATTTATTGATAGAGCTCTCCCTCTATCAGATTTGTCAAAATACTGATTTACACCAGAGTTGCATCCAGCTGTTTTTGTACCAAGTTATATTGGTCAAAATTGTTTTTACCGACTTGTTGAGATGGTAGTCGTTAAAGACAGAGTTATTTTACCGATCTCCCCTAAATGGTTTAACTATGATTGTTATTTGCAGAGAAAAAACCCTAAGATGGATTTTCAAAACGAGTGCCTTCAAGCTCATAATGAGTACAGAACGAGACACGGAGTCCCTCCACTTAAGTTAAATAGAGATATGTGTAAGGTAAGCCAAGACTGGGCTAATCACTTAATCAAGAAGGGAGTTTTACAGCATAGTAGTAATAGAGATTACGGAGAAAACTTGTTCTGCATACAGTCGACTAATCCGCATTTTACTATCGATGGGAAGGAAGCAGTGCAAAATTGGTACGACGAAATCAAATGTTATAAATTTGGTCTCGAACCGAGTAGTTTAGCAGCTGGACACTTCACGCAGGTATGTTTATGAACGCTATTTTAGTATAGAGCAATTTATCTCCTTAGCAACCTTTTGTTTAGAGGGACTTTGACATATCCTAAGAGCATCGCAGAAGAGTTGAATATTTTTTATATTTTTAATAGATAGAAATTTTCTCCATCCTTCTATATCAAGCTTCTTTCACAAAAAAATCATTATCAAATTTTATTAAATACATATTCAAAAATAATGTGAGAATCTTCCAATGAAAGGAAGAAAGCAATCAATTTCTTTGGAAGATTTCCACATTTTTTTATAAAGATGGAGAAGTAGAAAGCCGAAACCTCTCTTTCCTATAAATTTTATTATTTTCTTAAAAAAGGACTCCCGCATCTTATGTAAAATGGTAATTTTAAAAAAATGTATAGTATCATTCTTAAGTAATGAACTAAATTAAAATTGGTGGCTAATGAATTGAGTGGCAATAGAACCGACGAAATGAAATTTATATCTGGCCTCTGCATGTAACATAAATTTAGGTAATACAGTAATACTACCAAAAACATATCGACCTCTTTTCGTTCTGATAATCAAAACAATTTGTGAATATCTAATATGGAATTCAGGTTATCAGAATACCACTCTTGTTACAGTGTTATTACAGATAATGCATATTTGGTCAATTAGTGGTTGAATTGTATAATATTGTTTGCTGACGTAAAACTAACCTAGGTACTCAAAAATCAATCCTTTCCGACCGACCTTTGGTCGGTCGGTAGCCAAGTGGTTCGGCGTGGGTGATTTGTTCACTCACTCGAATTGACTGCCGTGCTGGTCGGTGGTTCAAGCCCTAGTCTGAACGATCGATCTTCACTTGCTATCGTCCAACCCGTGTTAGAAATCACACGTTAAAAGGTAAGACCTCGTTAATCCTTAGCTCGCACAAGTTTCGACGTCTGAGGGTTGTCGTTCGTAGGGGTGCGACAGCTGGTTAACGGAAAAACAGATTTTAAACAGACAGACAGACGGAGGAATTCAAGCTGTCCAGTCAACAACTTATAAATAGTTATAAGAACGGTGAAGTTACGCCCTTCATGCATCAACTTGAAGTTGAAAGAGTTCGAAAGAAGCATGTCCCTCTTTAGGGATAGTATCCGTGACATTTGAAAAAGAAGTACATTGAACATTTCCTCTGAACAATCTCTATACTGTCAATTACATTCTGGTGACAAAATAGGCGTTCTAAATTCCAGTTTTCTTGTAATAATTATACGACGTAGTATTTTTGAACTGTATCTGCCAGAAAAACTGGACCAGTTTTGCACACAGTAACCAAGTAATCTCATCGAAGCAGTAACACCTTTGTTGATGTGTTTATTGAAAGTAAACTTACTGTTATTTATTGATCAATCAAAAGTTATCGGGTTATGTTTTCGAGTGAATGACATCACATCACATATGAAAATATTGAATTTGGAACAATTTCTGGAGCAACAGAACTCTGAGGCTCGCAGCTCATCATTCAAGTCAGTTATTGACCTGGATAACTTCAGAACCTCTGTAAACAAAATATATCCAGAATACAGTACAAGAGTTATAAACAAAAGGGGGCCAAGATTGGACCCTTGAAGGACAAAATAGGTAACCAGATAACGGTTGAAAGGATGGCCTCCATATTCAACATACTGCATTAGACGTCAAATTAGTTTCAGTTGATCTGAGCTTGAAAAGATGGTAGTGGGTTGGCGAAGGGTTGACCAGTGTTGGCTTTCCTCACAATATGGTTTGGCTCAGTTGCACTAGCCGCTGACCATCATATAGTAACCATGAATTTTTTGGGTGAGTTTTCGCCTTTGGGAAGTGCCTGGGTGGCTCATTTGTGTCCAATCACTGTCCTGAACGTCTTCTGGTTGCGCAAAAGCAAAGAACAGACAATTTCTGTTGATTGTTGATCGTTCAAATCATGTAGCACCCACTTTTCAAGCTTTTTGATATTTACATTACATTATAAACCATCAAAAACCGCATGGAAGCTGATGCCGACTTCTTCCGCCATCTCAAGAACCATTTGTGATGGGTCAGTCTCCATCAGACTCCTCAAATTCTCGTCCTAGATTACTGTATCTTGACCACTTTGGGAATCATCTTCGAAGCTAAAATCTCTGAAACGAAATTTCGCAAATCTACGTCGAACAATGTATTCATTGACAAATACCTGGTTATATTTTGGAGCTGTTTCGGCAGCATCAATCTATAGAGTACAAAGTTTTCTATCGATCAGTACATAATACGACACAGTAGAATGAATATTTGAGACCTATGTTTCAGATAAATTATGCAAAAAAATATATACGAGATTTGTTCTTGTTTTTTGTTTCATACTTTTGATGAGCATTCAATAATCTTGAAGATTTACTCCGAAATGTATATAAAGATTATAATCAACTCAAAAGTTGTCAAAATCAAACTTTTTTATGGCGATATATGAGAAGAGGTCTTTTGATATGTTAGTTTCTGTATTTGATAACACATGACCATATCAATTGAATTGAATTATTTTCGAATATATCATCAGACATATTGATGTTGTTGCTATAAAATATAGCATGTGTGACGAGTTTTTTTTCTATCTTACTTTCGAGTATACTTACCACCAATCGAATTAGTGATATATTGGCAGTTTCCCGCTATACGTAATATAAAATCCAAGGTTTCTTCTACTTCTTGAACCCTTTCTCCTTTTTTCAGGTAGTATGGAAAGAATCCAAAGAGATTGGTGTGGCTTACGCAAAATCAGGCGGCAAAATAGTGGTTGTAGCCAACTACTCGCCTCCAGGGAATATTATAGGCTTCTTCACTGAAAATGTGCCCCCTCCAGGGGGCTTCCGAGCGAACAATAACCATATTGATCTGTCAAGTAACATGTCACATCTGTCACTCAGCAATTCAAAATTTAGTCACAAGAGCACACAAAATATCACCGAAGGCAATTTCGAAGAAGACTTTCTTGAAGCGCACAACATCTACAGACAAAGACACGGAGTACCTCCTCTTAAGCTCGACAAAAAGTTGTGTAAGTACAGCGAAGAATGGGCCAAGCATTTAGCACAAAGAAACATTCTCGAACACCGTCCTGGAAGTAACTATGGAGAAAACATTTATTGCTTATATTCCTCTGATCCAAATTTCACAGTGAACGGTCATACTCCGGTTGATACTTGGTATGAGGAAGTAGTGCACCACCCCTTTGGTAAGGAGCCCTGCAGCCTGAAATCTGGGCATTTTTCCCAAGTCATTTGGAAATCTAGCGAGTTTTTGGGAGTAGGAGTTGCGAAAAATTCTCAGAATAGCATCTACGTAGTCGCCAACTATTCCCCAGCTGGAAATTTTGTGGGACATTACGTAGAAAACGTACCACCTGTGAAACCTGCTTTCTATGGTGATATGATGGCGCAAAGAAAGATCGAAAATAAGACTGTTTTTGAACCTACCAAATCTTCTTCTATTGCTGCTGGGAATTTCAACCAATTTTGTTTAGATGCTCTGAAGGTCCATAACGAATATAGAAGACGACATGGGGTGCCTGATTTGCGGTTGAGTGAAAAGGTTTGTATGATATTGTTATTTGAACTAAGTTAGGTAAGGTTAGGCCAGAAGTGGGTTTATTTTAGCCCACACCTATTCACATTAGACCAAATAAACCCAGCTTCTTAACGAAGCCGATCAGTTTATATGGTGAGTGGTCTTTCAGGTCAGATGGTATGAATGCGCCTCTTTCAAATTCTGAAAACCTCATTTGGTCCGCAGGCACAAAAAATGTGGTTTGCTGTTTCATCATTTTCGAAACAGAGGTGACACACACTGTCTTCCGACAGTCCGAGTCTCTGAATGTGATGATGCAGAGGGCGGTGAATTGTATGAAGGCCTGTAAGATATCGTACTTCATCGGTGGTCCAACAACTGTTTGGTTTCAAGCTTCGAAAAGTAAATGAACGTATTGGAGTGAGCCAATCTTAGAGAATTTTGCCAGAAGTCCATAAATCTTTTTGCCATCCAGGTGTCCAATGTTGTTTATCAAAGCCTAAGACAGGTTCTAGTCCGATAAAGCTGTTTGCAGCACCCTCTGTCGCAAGGCCTTCCAGGCCAGTATGGCCAAGAATCCAGACCAGACAATTGGTAAAGTCTTTCTATTGAGGAGAGTCGTTTTTGGCAATTTGCTACCAATTTAGACGTTTCTCGGTGTCATTTACACTAAACAATACATCGAAAATTGATATTGAAGACTTTAATCGAAATGAAGATAAATTTCCTTTTCATTAGCACATCACACCTTATATAAAAGTCATTTTGATAGATATTTTGGTAGTTTTAGTATGGAAATGAATGATTTCGATGAGTAGAGTACCTAACCTGTTGGTAAGATTGAAAACATTTGTGAGCCAATAAAAAAAAACTTGCAACTATACACACACACATATACAACCATAAACTAATTATTTCGTCCCTGCATCTTCAGAAGGACTAGTTCAATCTTCACTCTGGTCAATAACATTTTTCTAAAAGTTCTCTCGAAACATTCAGCAGCTTTTTGTGACAATAGGGCTTATTCGTTTTTCCTGATCTATTTTGTCTTTTTTATAAAGACCGGTCCCACCGTTTTCCATTCTACTGGAAAAATTTCAAATTTCAATTGGGGTCCTACTCGGACTTTCACCATTGCACATCTACATAAAATGAGAAGCTCGACTGGTGACACAGAGGCTAATGCAGGGGTAAACCACAATCAGCCAGTCACACGGTGCAGAATACTTGAAACTGTACAATGAACTGAAGGTAGATCTAATATTAGGAATGCCTGTGGATAACACAGTTCCACAGTACAACTTTCAAAAAGATTTCAAAATCATCATATCAAGTAGAGAGGACTAGCGAAACGGCCCACCGGTAAAAGCGGAAGAAACTTGGTATACAAATGGCTCAAAGACCCAAGAAGGAGTGGGAGCCGGTATATATGGAGGCAGAGCAAAGATGAGAATCGCACCCAGCCTTGGACATAATGCAACTGTGTTCCAGGCAGAAGTAGCGGCTATCGAACACTGTATAAGAGAAATTAACAGGCAGAAGGTCACAAATAAAACCATTGCCATTTTCTCCGACAGCCAGGCGGCAATTAANAAGAAGTGTAAGTATTTGTCTGTCTGAACAAAAGAGAAATTGTCAACTCGGACACACCGACAAATTAGCTGCAGCCGAACAGATCTCAACTAAGGAGGCACTCACATTATCGCATTCGAAGTAATACTCCATACAACTTAAAATTACTATCCAAGCATATATATAGAGAGGCAATAGAAATAAAAAATGCAGGAATAATTTCAATAAGATCTGGCTACCTGGCCTTACAGGTACACAAACAAGGTCAGGTAATCCAATTAAGAGAAATTAATCCACGCTCACTAATGATGATTAAAACCAGAGTCAAATACCAGCATCGTAGTTGAAGTGTTCGGAACGATGGGAACAACAACTCAAACACCAACTCGGGTACTGCGGCTGTTACCACATCACCTTTGATATTGTCTACCGCAGTAGTAGACGAAATGCCAGGTATTTAAACTTGCAGACCACAGCCAAAAAACCGTAAAATATATTTCACAAAATTATTCCCAATGTTAATTACTAGCTATTATGCTATCTGATCTTTCAACATCATGTATGCTACGATTTTCTTATAATTTCAAGTCTTCTTCCCTTTTCAGTTCATGTTTCACTAACTTCTATTACATCCATTCTCTGCTGCTCTACTATATTCATCACCATCCACTTCAAACTTATTTTCTTTCTTATTACTACTACTTATTCTACCGCCGTCACTCATGTGCATTTTGTGAGTGAATTTCCTTGATTATAAATGTGTACATCAGTAATCAGGTCCGGCTATTAAATAACGAGACTGGTTACTAAAAATGGTTTTACTATAAAAATTATTCTACATTCAAATGCTTTCCTTCAATATACTTCCCTCCCTTCGCCACACACGTTTCCATAGGTTTTTTTCATTGATCGAAGCAGTGCTGGAAGTCTTTTTTGGTGAGGGCCTTTAGGAGGTCTGCCGTTTTTTGCTTTACCTCTTTCATCGACTGAAATCGGGTCCCTTCCCCAGCAGATTTTATCTTCGGAAACAAAAAAAGTCGCACGGTTACAAATCTGGTGAGTACGATGCGTGTTCAAGCACTAGAGTGCGTTTATAGGCCAAATACCGCTTTACAGATAGAGCGTTATGGGCAGGTGCGTTGACCTGGTGCAAAATCCAAGAGTTGTTCTTCGACAACTCAGGCCGTTTCTTACGCACTTGTTCTTGCAGTGTTGCCAAAACTGTCAAATAGTAAGTTTGGTTGACAGTCTGACCCTCTGTGACCCGTACAGTCATCACGATAATTTTGATTTGGACATCCTTGCTTTTTTATTCTGGGCGATTCAGGTGTCTTCCAATGCATGCATCGATTGCCGCTTTGTTTCAACATCGTATTGAAAAATCCACCTTTCATCAGTTCGAGAGCTTCTTCTAACCTCTCAAGGAAATCTGAGCAGGCCTGTTGACGCAAGAGCTTTTGGTTAGGAGTCCGGTTTTTCGACATTAACTCTGCACAGACTTTTGTCATGTGTAATTCCTCGTGTGAAATTTTTCTAACCGTTTTTTATCGGCGTTTACAGCCTCGGCTTGGATGATCTGTACGCACAATGTGGTTGATTTTGGTCACTGTTTCCGCAGTTGAAACAGGGCGACCTGGTCGTTGGTCATCTTCAGTGCTCTCTCGGTCCTCATTTACACCACTCAAAAACACTCGCACGAGATAGGGAATTGTCCCCATAGGCCTCTTGCAACAATTTATAGCAACCAGTCGAAGTTTTTTCAATTTAACGAGAAATTTGGGATTGATACGTTGCTCCTGTTTTTCGTCATACATGGTTTTCGGCACGAGAAAAAAACACGTTCGATGAAAACTTTTTCTAGAGATCAATTACCTCAACACAAAACTGATATTTTTGCAGTCGACGCGCGTTTCGCTAACAAGGTTAGCATCTTCAGGAGAAGCAAATTGATAATGAATCTAAAGACAAGGGTAAACTGTTTATATACCTGAAGTTTTTTGGTCCGATGTGGACTTTGTTTGTTAAATGATGATTATCCTAATTGATTTTTCGGTAAATCACTAGTGGAACCACTACCTGCAAATAAATTTGTCCGCTTTTCAATCTATTGTTAACAAAATAATTTGCAGGCAGTGGTTTCACTAGTTGATCACCGAAAAATCAATTAGGATAATCGTCATTTAACAAAGTCCACATCGGACCAAAAAACTTTAGGTATATAAACAGCTAACCCTTGTTTTCAGATTCAGTATCAATTTGCTTCTCCTGAAGATGCTAACCTTGTTAGCGAAACGCGCGTCGACTGGAAAAATATCAGTTTGGTATTAGGGTAATTGATCTCTAGAAAAAGTTTTCAAAAATAGGTTTGCAAAACCACTCACTACCTCACCTAACCCTACGAACACACGGCACTGATAAATAAATATTGTGAAACGGACAAAAAATTAGTATTCAGCCAGTCCAGCTAGCCGTGCCTTTACTCCTGAACTACATTTGAGAGCACGTTTACTAACTATCTGGGCGACTAGGGGCCACAGGCAAAAAATGTTCATGACTGTACTCTTATTTTATTGTCGTTCCAATTGGGAATGGATAGACTATAAAACATATTTGATTCCAGTATTCAGTTATGGTAATTTGAAAAACAGCTAACGAGAGGAATTTCAAGTGGGACAGATTCTAGGGTTAGGAGTTGCTATTGAAAAAAATCGCCTCAGATCTCCCTATTCTATGTGAACGGGTACGTTGTATTCGTAATCGAAGAAAAAATATATGTATTTCTTTAGAGATTTTTTTCCAATTCAACGAAAATATGTTTGCTCAGAGGTTTCAACACAAAACCAACACAAACAATTTTTCACTATCAACCTGCGCGGCGAAACAATCACTTCTACTCATACTCTTGTTGAAATGAGACGATTTTTGTATCCAGTGGAGAGAAGTTATTATATAACGTGATATCACGTAATATAGCTCGTCAGTCGATTTAAAAGAGAGCATATCTTCGGGGGTTTCTCAGTGAAAGCACTAGGAATTAAGTGGCTAAGCTAGTATCATCAGATTTCTATGGCTTTCAGACATTTCGTTTCACTAACAAAGATAATACTATCAGGAAGTGACTGAAACTCTTAGGTCTCTTGATGATGCTAATTCGAATACAAAAATTTGTCATCTATTGATGATGCTATTTTGTATAGCAAAACACGCTACAGGAGTATGTTTTCTCAGTTCATGTATGTGAAATATTCAGGAATTGTTAGTTTCAATATATCCAAGTATCACTTCAATGTGATATTTGCACTAAACATTTACAAAATCGCAAACTATACAATAGTATATATTAAAAAAGGCCTGTAAAAGATATTGTATGGTGAAACATGTGTTATTAATTTTGTAAACTGTACAGTGAAAATATTCTTATGCTGATGTTCTTTTAGTGTCAGTTGATTAAC